CTTCTTTCTCAGATGTATATCTTGTAAGTTTCTTTTTTCCAAATATTGGCTTGCTTTTTCATTTTTATAACTGTCTTTTGAAAAGCAAACTGTATATTTCCATACAAATTTTAGAACTAATTGTTAGTTTCTAAAATAAAGTCTTCTGGGATTTTGACTGGGATTGCATTGAATCCAAAGATGAATTTGCAGATCATTGATGTCTTGACAATATTGAGACATGCAAATATGAATGCAAGATAGTTATCTGTCCATGTCTTTATTTTATCCCAGGTAGATTTTCTAATTTTCAGTGTATAGGTCTTATACCTCTTCTGTCAAATTTATACCTAAATATTCCATACATTTGATATTATTGGAAGTGGCATAATTGTGTCAGTTTCTAATTGTTAACTGTTAATATTATAGAAATATAATTAATTATAAATTGATTTTGTATCCTTGCAATTTTGTTAAACTCATTTACTACTTCTGATAACTTTCTTAGTAGATTTTGGAGGATTTTCTACATAGACAATTGCCTTTTATTTCTTTTTCTACCTGGATGCACAGGCTAGAATCTCCAATATGATGTTGAATAGAAATAATGAGAATGTACCACCTTGATTTGTTCTTAATCTTAGAGGAAAAGCATTCAGTCTTTCACCGCTAAGTATAAGCTGTTAGTTTGCCATAGATGCCCTTATCAGGCTGCAAAGATTTTTCTGATTAAGGCTATCTGAAAGCATTCACTGGATTCCATAGAGCACACACATGAGGCTCTTATTTAGGGGCAAAGGATACAGTACAAAAAGAGGAAGAGAAAGCAACAGGTGTCTAAGGAACATTTGACAAGGGAATTCCCTCCAGCCATTATTCCTGCCCACGCAGCACACAGCAACATACTGTGTCTCCAACTTGAAAGCACTCCTCTGTGCAAGGAATTTTGGCTTCCACAGAGTTCCTTGAGAAGCTTTCATTGGCCATATAATTGGCCAAGTAAGTTTGTCAAAGTAGTTAGGCCACTTGCATGTGTCAGCAAAGAAACTGACTGTGAGGGCCATTGGGAGAGTTTCAGACTTTACACAGTATATAAACTCTTAGGCCTGTATCTGGTTCAAAAGTCACAATAACCCCACAGATAAAGAGCTTTTCTACTCCAGTATAGTAAATCAACTCCATCTTACAGTTTGAAGTTCACATCTATTCTTAGTTTGCTGAGAGTTCATTAGAAATGAATGGTGTATTTTACAGACTTCAAGAAGGGATTATCGGTTACCAGAGGGAAGGAGTTGGGGAGGGTTGGTGGGGAGGGAGGGAAAGAGATTAAGGGGCATTATAATTAGCATGCACAATATAGGTAGATCACGGGGAAGATAGTACAGCACAGAGAAGACAAGTAGTGACTTTATAGCACTTACTACACTGATGGAGTGACTGCAATGGCTGGGGGACTTGATAATATATGGATGAATGTTGAAACCACAATGTTGCTCATGTGAAACCTACATAAGATTGTATGTCAATGATAGCTTAATTAAAAAAAAAGAAATGAATGCTGTATTTTCTCAAAAACTTTTCAGTGTTTCAGCAGCTATTCAGATGACAATGTGGTTTTACCTTTTCAGCTGTAATAAAGAGAATTACATTGACTAATTTTCAAATCTTAAACCAAGCAAGTATCCCTGAAATAAAAGCCACTTGGTTTATTGTTGCATTTGATTTGCTAAAGTTCTGTTAGAAATTTTTGTATCTACATTCATAAAGAATAGTCATCTCTATTTCTTTTTTGCAATGGTTTGGCACCCAAATCATAATGACCTCATGAAGTTGGGAATCATTTCTTCCTTTTCAATTTTCTTGAAGAGTTTTTATAGAATTGATATGATTCTCTCCTTAAATGTTTGGTAGAAATTTCCATGAAACTATCTCATCCTGTTTTCTTCATGGAAAGGTTTCTATTTCGATAGTAGATTTAAGGCTACTGAAATGACCTTTCGTTTTTTTAAGTGAATTTGTTGGTTCATGTCTTTCAAGGAAGATTTCCATTTCATCCTTGGAATGTGTATAAAATTTGTAGTAGTATCACCAACTCTCTTAATCCTAATTTGGTTATTTGTGTCTTCTCTTTTATTTTCTTTATCAGTCTGGTTAGGGGAATAACAACTTTATTGGTCTTCTCAAAGAATATTTCAGTTTTATTTTTTGTGTTTTTTTCTGTTTCCATTTATTTCTGCTTTCCACATTTATTATCTCTTCTGTTTCCTTTAGAAGTAATTTTCTCAAACTTTGCTAGCTTCTTAACAGATGATTAAACTACTGATTTGATCATTTACACCTGTAACATGGGTATTTAGTGCTATAATTTTGTCTCTAAGTTCATTTTTAGCTGCATCTCAAAATTCTTGATATGCTGAAATTTCATTTTTATTCACTTCAAAATACTTTCTAATTTTTTTCATGTGTTCTTTGGCCCTTTTCATGGTTTCATGGTTCTTTTCGTGTGTACTTTGACTTAATTATAAAGTAAAAGTTAGAGAAAACAGGTCCTTTAAAAAGTCGTGTAGTTTCCAGGTATTTGGGGATTTGTCCTAACCTTAATTAGAACAAACCGATGGAGGAAAACTGAATTCACTTTCTGCTTGTCTACTTGACTGGGACATTCATCTCTTGTCTACGGTGCTCCTGATACTCCCATCTTCAGACCTGTACTGGGATCTGTGCTTTCAGATCTCCAGCTCTCAATCTCTCTCCTCTCTCTCTTGTTCTCCCTTTCGCACACACACATAATATGTATATGTAACATTTATGTATTATATGAAATATAATATGCATATAGAATTCCATTTATATAAAATTCCTGAAAATGCAAACTGATCTATGTTGACAGAAACTGGATTAGTTGTTGCCTGTGGATAGGAGATGGTGCAGAGGGATGAGAGGGAAGAATTACAAAGGCTGATGACAAAGCATTTGGGATTGACAGTAAATTCACTATCTTGATGGTGATGATAGACCCACAAATAGATAGATATACATAGGTTGATAAATAGATATTAAACAATAAATATTATGGGTTAACTGTATCTCATTAAAGCAGTAAAAAAAATCAACACAAGGTATTTTATATTAAATTCAAGTAGAAGTTAGAGAAAATCTGTGCTATAAGAGTTCCAAAAATTTGATATCCATTGAGAACTGGGATGGTTACAGGTGTTTTAGAAGTCTAAAGTTCTGTTAGAAATTTTTGTATCTACATTCATAAAGAATAGTCATCTCTATTTCTTTTTTGCAATGGTTTGGCACCCAAATCATAATGACCTCATGAAGTTGGGAATCATTTCTTCCTTTTCAATTTTCTTGAAGAGTTTTTATAGAATTGATATGATTCTCTCCTTAAATGTTTGGTAGAAATTTCCATGAAACTATCTCATCCTGTTTTCTTCATGGAAAGGTTTCTATTTCGATAGTAGATTTAAGGCTACTGAAATGACCTTTCGTTTTTTTAAGTGAATTTGTTGGTTCATGTCTTTCAAGGAAGATTTCCATTTCATCCTTGGAATGTGTATAAAATTTGTAGTAGTATCACCAACTCTCTTAATCCTAATTTGGTTATTTGTGTCTTCTCTTTTATTTTCTTTATCAGTCTGGTTAGGGGAATAACAACTTTATTGGTCTTCTCAAAGAATATTTCAGTTTTATTTTTTGTGTTTTTTTCTGTTTCCATTTATTTCTGCTTTCCACATTTATTATCTCTTCTGTTTCCTTTAGAAGTAATTTTCTCAAACTTTGCTAGCTTCTTAACAGATGATTAAACTACTGATTTGATCATTTACACCTGTAACATGGGTATTTAGTGCTATAATTTTGTCTCTAAGTTCATTTTTAGCTGCATCTCAAAATTCTTGATATGCTGAAATTTCATTTTTATTCACTTCAAAATACTTTCTAATTTTTTTCATGTGTTCTTTGGCCCTTTTCATGGTTTCATGGTTCTTTTCGTGTGTACTTTGACTTAATTATAAAGTAAAAGTTAGAGAAAACAGGTCCTTTAAAAAGTCGTGTAGTTTCCAGGTATTTGGGGATTTGTCCTAACCTTAATTAGAACAAACCGATGGAGGAAAACTGAATTCACTTTCTGCTTGTCTACTTGACTGGGACATTCATCTCTTGTCTACGGTGCTCCTGATACTCCCATCTTCAGACCTGTACTGGGATCTGTGCTTTCAGATCTCCAGCTCTCAATCTCTCTCCTCTCTCTCTTGTTCTCCCTTTCGCACACACACATAATATGTATATGTAACATTTATGTATTATATGAAATATAATATGCATATAGAATTCCATTTATATAAAATTCCTGAAAATGCAAACTGATCTATGTTGACAGAAACTGGATTAGTTGTTGCCTGTGGATAGGAGATGGTGCAGAGGGATGAGAGGGAAGAATTACAAAGGCTGATGACAAAGCATTTGGGATTGACAGTAAATTCACTATCTTGATGGTGATGATAGACCCACAAATAGATAGATATACATAGGTTGATAAATAGATATTAAACAATAAATATTATGGGTTAACTGTATCTCATTAAAGCAGTAAAAAAATCAACACAAGGTATTTTATATTAAATTCAAGTAGAAGTTAGAGAAAATCTGTGCTATAAGAGTTCCAAAAATTTGATATCCATTGAGAACTGGGATGGTTACAGGTGTTTTAGAAGGTATGATACTTACACTGAGTCTTGAAGTTAATGGGTATGTTTACGAATGGAGTTTATGGTTAAAATGGACCCTGATTTTGGATGGCACTAAACACCAGCAATTTCCTGTAACTTTACACTGAAAGCATGTCTCCATATGCTGCAAGCAGAAAACAATTGTATTCAGTTTCCCCTTTACCTATTCAAAACTTTTCCATGGAGCTAGTTATTTCCTGTTCTTTGGTGACATCTAAGGTAGCCTCCATGTCTTGTCCTGCTTTATTTCAGTAATGAAAATGTCCAGATCCATGCAATTGTTAAAACCCAATTTCATTTAGAATCAATATCTCCTCTCTCAATCCCTCCTTTGTTGCACCTGTTGAGGTATGGAGCCTGCAATGAAAAAGAGAATATGCCTTCATATTCTCTATTTTCCCAGCCATTGCTGCGTTTTCTCATTACTGCCTTCTGTCCCCAGCTCATTAACTCACATTTTTATCTCTAAGACAAGAGGCATTGGAGGAAAATAAAGGTAGGGGAAGGAACAGTTTTACTTATGTAGTACTCTCATGATTTTGCTTCAGCAAATGTTTAAATTTAACTCTTTCACAGAGGGTCTGCACTCTGGTTACTCAGGTAATACACCTTTTGCTTGTTCCATGCTCCCTAAGTCAAGATCACTCCCTCAGCCTTGGATTTCTGAGAGTGTCCCATTTAGCTGGGGTAATACCAAAACCTCTTTAAATCCATTCCTGGCCAGCTCATTCTCATCTGGCACAATTCTAATTACAGCAGGGGCATATGTGATGGCTCCCTCACTCCTCTGCCCTTGTCTTCCCTCTCTCAGGGATTCTTCAGGCACCTGCATTCTCTTCCCTCGCCCCAGAGCATATAAATCAAGTTTTCCAAATTGTTACACTAACCCCCCTCTGAGCGAGTTCAGTTAAAAATAAAGTACCATTCTTGCTTTTCTGACTCTGAGGGGTGGGAAGGGGGGAAAAAAGGCCATCTCAGTTCAATAACTTCATCCAAAGAAAATTATTTCTCCTAGTGTCTTCAACCTCAAAACTTTTATGCTGTGATAAATATTTAACTAGGGCTTAAAAAACAGTTTTCATTTTGGTTTCCTTGCTATTTTCTTAGCTAGTCTTATATAGGCAGTATATCACCTTAGTGTGGACCGTGGAAGCACTTGCCTTCTATTGTCTTCTTCTTGGATTTGAAGTCTCAGTCAAAGCTGAAACAGAAAGGTTTCCATTTTAACATCCTGTTAGAAGAGTGTATACTGCCAAGGATAGGCCATAACTGAGTTGGACAATTTCTGTTTTTTTCTCAGAACATGGAATTGCAAGGGGCATCATTTATGAGTATCTTGAGAGAATGTATGATTTGGGTTAGAATATCTAAATTTTTGTTTATGTGCATTTATTTTAGACTTTTCAATATGGTATTAGGATTTGAATTGGATAATAAAGCAGGGTTCTGTATAAATCTAAAAATCAAAATATTCAGAAAGTCTTATTGACATAATAATTTTCCATAGAAGCTATCAAAATAAAAATTATGTTTTGAAAAAGGTTGTTTCTTATTATGGCACAGATTTATCTAAATTGACATTAAAATTATGACTTGTTTCTTGCTATTAATGTATGATTGATTATTTGGGGTATGGGATAATATGACAAAATGCCAAGTAGTTTTATTATGTCTTGAAGTTATCAGTCAGAATTTTAGGTTGAAAAATCTGTAACATTAAAATGATAAAGTTTTTTAAACTTTTCATAAAGTGAGGGAAACTATTTATAAACTTGCTAGGGGGTGTGTTACGGACAAAAATCCAAAAATGATTTTATCAGGTTATTCTAATAGGGAGAGCACTCCAGATCTGAATATCAGAATTTCTTAGTAGGGTGGTTTTGCTTGGGGTAGATAAGAAACAATTTATAGATGGGGTGATATGTAAGAGGAAATGTTTTTGTAATCAGTGGGAGTATTAGTCTGAATAAGACATGTTTTTCTCTAGCAAGTGTTTGTCTAGCAAGCGTTAGGGTACAAAAATTTTCTAATCATTTGTGAGACAAACAATGGAAATTTGGAGGGTCTGTATCTGGGCTTGTTATATTGTCAGTAAGGAATAGGTTCATCTGTGAGTTTTAGGGGAGGCACAAAAAAAAGTGGACAAAAGTTTTGTGTAAGTCATGTGAGGGAGGATGTTTCTTTTCAGTAAGTCATTTCCTGGAACTCAAAGGGGTAGAAGATAAGTAATAGTGGAGATTTCTTCAACCACCACTGTTTTCTGGGAGCAAAGTAGTCAGGTTAAGTTCAACATTGTTATAGTTACTCTGGGAAGATATTGGGAGGTTGAACTGAATTAGCAAATCTTTCTTTCATAATTTTTTTAGATGTTGATACTGTTATGCTTTTAATTTTTGCTGTTGGTGCCTTACAAATAAAAAAAATTCTTGACTTCCTGATCAACAATATGAAGAACTTAGCAGGCATTAATCCCATTCTCACCATAAGAAGAAAGCTAAACAAACTCAGAATGGATGGCAGCCTCTCTGAAAGAATCATCAGAAAGTCAAAGTCACAGGGCAAACTACTACCCTGAAAACTGAAGAGATAGGAGAATACAGAGAATCACAGCTGACCAAGAACAGAAGCAGCTTCAGGTGACAGCAAATGGTAGGAACATTTAAGTGTACAACACTTAACCTGTTGTTAACAATAATATATTATGTACTTACAAATTTGTTAAGAGGTAAATGTCATATTAAGTGTTCTTTCCACAAAATGAAAAACAAGTTAAAGTGTAATTGACTAATTACTGGAGACTGACCTTGGACTTGAGAGATAAAAACTCCCCAGCTGAGCCTCCATTGGACTGCCATACATTCTGAGTTTTACCTCCAGAAAACTCACCAGTTTCTTAAGGTGATTATAATCTTACCTTTGTTTGTCTTCCACTTTATCTGGTAGAGTAGTAAAATCCTGTCATGTTTCTGGCAGGAGGAGGGAAATAGGAACCATTTGGAAATATGCTCATAATATTCTGCCCTTCTTAACAAAGGTCTGGCCTCAAAGGAAACTTTTACCAGCAATCTTATCACCCAAAAGTGAGAGAAAAATAAAGACTTTCTCAGACAAACAAAAATTGAAAACATTTGTTTGTTGCCAGTAAATCTGCTTTGCAAGAAGTGTTAAAAGTTCTTCTGAGAGAGGAACAATCATACAGGTCAGAAATTCAAACCTACACAAAGAAAGGAATAGCATTAGAGAAGGAAATCAATGAAGGTAAAATAAAATATTTTTTATGTTCTTAATTGATCTAAAACAGATATGTTCTTTAAAATAATAATAACAACATATTTGTTGATTTTAGCTCATGAATGTGAAATGAAGGGAAATGAAGTGATATGAAATGAGTATCAACAATGTTAGGGACAGGAGGAATGAAATGGGGACGTTCTGTTATAAGGAGTCTGCACTACCCAGGAAGCAGTACAGTGTTATGTGAAAGTGGACTTAGAATGGTTAGAAATATATATTAAGAATTTCTAAACACTTATTTTTTACAAAAATAATTGATATGCTAAGAGAAGTGAGAAAATGGAATCATAAACATTTAACCACAGCAGAGAAGGCAGAAAAACTGGGCGACAAACAAAACAAAAACAGTTACAAATATAGTAGAATATAAAACTTAAATAGGTTAAAAAATACAGGGATGTTGAAAGATATATCATGCTAACACTAAGCAAAAGAAAGCTGGAGTAATGATATTCATTTTGCACAAAATACACTTCAGAGCAAGGGAAATTATTAGGGGAGAGGGCATTATAGAAGCATAAAGGGATCAATTCTCCCAGAAGGTATAACAGTCCTTAATATTTATGTACCTAACAATAATATGTCAAAATACTTGAGACCAAAATGAGTGAACTTCATGGAGAAATAGACACAACCACAAGCATAGTTGGAGACTTGATCACCACTCTATCAATAACTGACAGATCCAGCAGATGGAAAAACAGTAAGTACATACTGACAGTGCCATCAATCAATTGGATCTAATTGACATTTATAAAATACTTCATTCAACATCAGAATGCACATGCATCCCAAGCTTATAAAACATTCACCAAAATAGACCATATTCTGGGCCATATAACACACCTTAACAAATTTAAAAGAACAGAATCATAAAAGGTATACTCAGTCCACAATGGAATTAAACTAAAAATAAATAACAGATTGATAAAACTAAAAAAAAAATAAACAGAATGATAGTTGGAAACTCCCAAAATATTTGGAGACTAGACAGCACAATTCTAAATAACACAAGAATTAAATAACAAATCTAAAGAACAATTAAAATATATTTTGAACCAAATGAAAATACAATATATCAAACTTTGTAGGATTCAGTTAAAGCAGTGCTTAGAAGGAAATTTATAGCATTGAATGCACAAATTAGAAAGGAAGAAAGCTCTAAATGCAAAAACCTATGTTTCCAAATTACGAAACTAGAAAAAGAAGGGCAAATTAAATCCAGAGTCAAGAAAAAATAAATAATACAAATTAGACAAGAAATCAATCAAATTAAAAACAGGAAATCAATAGATAAAATCAATGAAACCAAAAGATGTTTCTTTTAAAAGACCAATAAGATATGTGAACTTCTAGCCAGGCAAACCAAGAAAAAAATGAGAAAAAATAAAAACTACTGGTATCGGAAACAAAAGACAGGCCATTACTACTGATCCATGCATATTCAAAGGATAATAAAGGAATATTATAAAAAGCTATATGTCCAGAAATTTGGTAACTTATGTAAAATGTAGCAATTCCTTGAAAGATGCCATTCTTCTGGGAACCACAGTTTTTTAAAAATATATATATATATTTTTTTTTTATTTTGGTATCATTAATCTACAATTACATGAAGAACATTATGTTTACTAGGCTGCCCCCTTCATCAAGTACCCGCCACATACCCCTTCACAGTCACTGTCCATCAGCGTAGTAAGATGCTGTAAAATCACTACTTGTCTTCTGTGTGGCACAGCCCTCCCCATGCCCCGCCCACACTATACATGCTAATCGTAATGCCCCCTTTCTTTTTCCCCACCCTTGTCCCTACCTTCCCACCCATCCTCCCCAAAGAATGCAGCACTCCAGTTTGAAAAAGACAGATGCACTCCTATATTTATCGCTGCACTATTTACAATAGCCAAGATATGGAAGCAACGTAAATGTCCATCAGTAGATGAATGGATAAAGAAGATGTGGTACATATACACAATGGAATATTACTCAGCCATAGGAAAAAACAGATTCTACCATTTACAACAACATGGATGGAGCTAGAGGGTATTATGCTCAGTAAAATAAGCCAGGTGGAGAAAGACAAGTACCAAATGATTTCACTCATATGTAGAGTATAAGAACAAAGGAAAACTGAAGGAACAAAATAGCAGCAGAATAACAGAACTCAAGAATGGACTAATAGTTACCAATGGGAACCACATTTTGAAACATTGCTTTAAATGAGCTTAGACTGCCAGGAATTTTTAATGTTTCTACCATTTTTTTATAAAAATATCTTCCCTTTAACATTATATTTTCATTTACCACTTCTATTTACATCTTTAAAGCAAACACCTATAATTGTATATCCACTTACATATCCTTTTTTTTTTCTATTTTGGATGTCTTTAGGTAAACCTCCACTTTGAGTTAGGAATCTCCCCAATTTATAGATGGGGAAATCCATCTACAAACAAAATCTCAGCACAAGGCACATGAACAATTCTGTTGTATTAAAGAGATAATATTTTTTGAAGATTTGGGAAAATATCTGAAAATGGTTTCTTAAAATCTATGGAAAACAGAAGATATATTTGGGAAAATAATGTTATTGCAAAAGATAGAAGTATTACCTGAACCCTTTCCAAAACACTGACTTGATAATGTTACTGGATATGAGCCACAATGAAGACCCAAACTATGTTCTATTGAACTTTGCTATATAAATCAACAAAATGCAATCCTTCAATAAGGCTTTGTCAAGAATAGTCACTTGGGACAATGGTGGAAGGAATAGTCATTGAATCTACATGTACAGGCAGGGTAGTTCTATCCTTTTACAGTGTAATCTGGCTGATGAGCCAAAAGAAACAATTTCCTTATCTCTATTATTTACAAGTCTTCCAGCAGAGTTTGCTGCCAGATTATAAAGTCTGGTGAAATATAACTGGTTAAAAAAAATCACTTACATCTACTATAACAAATTTAGCTTACATTATACATATTCTAGCAAATCAATGGTATTAATCATGTCTAATTTAGTCAATATATCATGATAAACATGATAAAACATTTATTCCATAGTTACTACTAAATAAGCTCCATAATAAAAGTCTTAAAAAAGTAATATATAATCTTCTCTGATTACATACATATTATAGAATGTATAAGCAGATTCTGCCAAAGTATTTCCTTGTGACATCTGAGAGGCATGTGATTTTCATAAATACTTTTATGCATTATATTGAGTTCAAAATCAGTGACATGTGTTTAACATCACCTGGTGGGGAAATTCCAAGTTTACATTTAATAGTGAAAGTAAACAAATACTTAGAAACATAGAAAATTCTTATAAACTGTCACTACTTAACTGTCACCTGTCAATGTCAACATTTGAAAACTAACAGGAATGCATTCACTGGCTGGAGTGATCACATGAAAATCACACCGAGATAAAACTTGCAGAAATGAACATAAAAGTTTCATGCAGGGGAATGGAATTGAAAAAGATGGTTTTCCAAAATTTGGAAAGATCTCAGCTGGCCCTCTTCCTGCCTGTGTGCTGCCTTGGTAGGATGGCCAAGAGCCTTTCTGGGCTCTGAGGAGGGTGGGGGCCAGGTGGCATGGATGTTCTGCCTTTCATGTTCATAATAGAATAATTTGGGAAGATCTGTATGCCTGAACTGGCCAATATGTATGACATAGTGAATATGTATGTTGCCAGCATGCCCAGAGTTGTCAGGATGGAAGAGCCATCACTGTATCTAACCTGGGGAGTCCTATCAGTCAGCCTGGGCTGCCAATTTCTTTAGAAGTGCTCAAAGAGGTGGTTAGTAAGGATATTAGGTATACTTTTTCTGGCATCTCTTCGTCGGCTTGGAGTGGTCCTGCCTCTGTAGTTGGGATGTTGCCATAGGCATATTGCTCCTGGGGAAAGATGTTTTAACAGCTCATCTTGGAATTCTAATTCCTGTTGCTCCAGTCATATCCTTCTTGCCCTTCTTCCAGGCATTTAGGGAGATAATGTATCTCTGGAATATAGTCCCAGGAAATCTCGACAGTAGGAATCTCTCTGTCCCCCAAATCTATTCCCGACGTGAATCATCTTAACCCTGGGGGGCATGTGGGTGCTCTATCGCCAAGAGTTACACTCTACCACTTCAGGAGTCCGAGTGAATCAAAGTCTCAGTTTTATCAGTTACTGTCTTTAACCGCTCTGTGTCTTGGTGAAGTCCTGTAAAGCAAGGACAGCAATAGGATTTAACATTAAAGATCCTGGAGCTGGAAGCCCAGCTCTACTATTTTCTAGGTGAGTCATTATTTAATCCTTCTGTGCTTCAGTTTCTTCATCTGAAAAATAGGGGGTCATGGTAGTTCCTACCTCATAGAGTTGATACAAAAATTAAATGAGTTTTTTACTATTGCTATTACTACCATAATCATCATCATAACCTTCACTAATGGAAAGTTGGAGGTTTTCATATGAACATTGGATGTCCCTGCATTCATTAGCCAGCAAATTCATGTTAAGATTACACCCAGATGAAACTTCAGGAAACATATATAGGTAGAGAAAATAGGTAAGTAATGTAATATCTAAACAATAGAATTTAAGTAACATTTTAATGTTTTCTAATTTTTCTGTTTTAAAATGTATCATTTTTAACAAAAATATAAATTTGAAAAAAGCTTACACTTGCCAAAGAGTAATGATAAGCAAGTAGAAAAAGAAACTTTCATTTAACGTGATGGTTATTTGACTAGCTTCTATCAGTATAAATTTCTAATGGGGAAAATTTTAGATGTTGGGAAGTCAAATAATAAAAAGAGAAAATACAGGGGAAGAAGACCTCTCTGAATTTCATAAGGTTAAAACTTATCACAACAATATTTTAAGCTTCAAGCAGGATATCTGGAATGGCAGAGTGAGAACCTTGGTAAATCTCCACAAAAGCAACAAAATGTCAGCAAAATCAACTTTGTCAGAATTTTAGAAATTAATCAAAGGTTTGTAACAGTTTGAAGAGTGATCATTCAATAAAAACTACTGCAGTAAAAACAGCAAGCTCTTTGACGTTTAACTTGGCCTTCTCTTACCACACTGTCCATAGAAAGCAGTTTAAAGCCATCATACCTTCTACAATGAGATAACAAATAAGATAGACAGTAATAAATATTGATGGGGATGTGGAGAAACATGCTGGTGGGAACAAAATTGGTGTAGCTACTTTGGACAACAGTTTGGCAGTTTTCAAAAGATTAAACATAAAGTTCTCATTGAATACAGCAACTCCACTCAATATCTACACAAGAGAACTGAGAACATATGTCTCCCCAAGAACATATTCTGAGTTACATTATTCATCATATCTAGAAACTGAAAAAACCACCCATCAACTGAATAGACAAAATAGATGAATAGACAAATGGTGGCATATCCAGATAATATAATACTATTTAGCAGTATAAACTACTGACATATGCTTTGTCATGGATGAACTTCAAAACTGTTTGCTAAGTAAAAGAAGCTAGACACAAAAGACCACATATTATATGATTCTATTTATACAAAATATCCAGAAAAGGCAAATTGTTAGAGTAGATTAATGGTTGCCTGAAACTGGCAATGGGAATGGGGATTAACTGTAATGGGCAAAAGTGATCTTATTGGAGGCATGAAAATGTTCTATAACTGATTTATGGTAATGGTTACACCACTAAGTTATATTAGCAATTATTAAACTGTACAGTGGAAGTGAGTGAATTTTATAATATGTAAAATATGCCTCAATAAATTTTTTTACAACAATATTTTAAGCTAACCCCTCCTCCCCCCCAGCAATCAGAGAACACTTTGCTTGGTGCATTTTGGGACAAATGGCCTGGAAGCCTAATTGGACAAAGGGACAGTTTCAATTTCTAGTAATTTGCTGTGCCCCATGCTGAAAATAAGGAAAAAATAGAATTTATAAAGCAATGTCGCAGGAAGACTTTGAATGAAAAAACTATTGAAAAATGGCCTTTCTCTTAAAAAGGAATTCTGGGTGTGAAGACAAATTACTGGATGAAAGAGAGTCAAATATGTTAAACATGTGTAAGAATATTTGAAGCCAAACTTAGGAAGCAGAGTTCCACACACTTTTTAAATAACAAAGAACTGATTGCTCTTGGACAGTTCCATATAAAAGGAAACTACATTAACTGCTATACATACTTCCTCTCCTCCTAGATTTTGACTAAGGATGTAAACATTCATGTATCCATAACGAAGGGAAAAACAAATTACAGGTTCATTATTATAGATAAGTATCTTTTATCACTGAAGCTGAACTTTGGGAAAATCCAAATTACAAACCTTCTTTGAGTTTACATTCTAAAGGGGAAAGAGAAACAATATCACATAAGTAAATAAAAACATCAAGTATGTCATAGAGTGACTGTATAGGAAGAAAGAAATGTGGAAGGGCATGAGGGCATGTGCAGGCTGGGGAAAGCAGCTGCAGTTTTAGTTGGGGTGGTCAGGGACGCCTCAGGGAGGCGGGCCATTCTAGGAAGACGTATGACCTTGGGTGAGGCAGTTCTCTGTATCTGAGGCAGTGCCGGGGTTGACATCTAAACACTGTCACCAAGAGCACTCCCAGCCACACTGGCAGCAAGTCCTTCCCTAAAGAGAGATCCAGGTCCACCATGTAATTCAAAAATCTCAAATCATGATATTACCAGAATGAGTTATTCATCAGTGGTTTATATACTAATCTCCATGTTAGGTCCCACTATAGTCAAAACAGATGAGATGATGATATTTTTGTTTAAAAGTTTAACACAAAACCACTTATCTCTTGAAGGATCTTAACTAAATCATTATGGCTATATTACCTAACATGGGTACAAATAACATATGTGAAATGATTATCAAAATCAAAACTCATGAGCATAATAATTTACTGCTAAACTTTTAGATACAGAATATGTGTGAGAGTTCAGAAAATATAACAATAACATGATGGAAGAAATCATCAAGAAGTGGATAGGTTCTGACCTAGGCATTTACCTTTTTAAAAATTCTTAGACCTAGTAAATATTAATATTATTTCTATTTTGTCTTTTTTGCTCAATACTTTAGGGTCTAAGCAAAAAGATCGTAAAATCGTATGTATATCCTTAAAGTTCTATTTACTTCAAACCATTAACAAATTCCAGTTCTTAAACATTTAATCACATCCAATGCAAGATCATTTAATCTAAATCACTAGCTATTTCACAACGACTTTTGAAGAGTGGATATTTTCAGAAATAACAGTAGCTGTCATTTATTGTGTAATTTCTGTATGTCAGGCATTATATGGAACACTTTAAGTAATTCACCTCTATCATATATATTGACTGAGAAAAACCTACCAAAAATATTCTGTATAAAAACCTACTAAGAAAACTCCAACGTTAATTATCTTCACTAACATATGGCGAATCTGAGGGTTAGAGGGGTCTAAAAAACCTATCTAAGATTACACGGGCACTAAGTAGCCTTTCTAGGATCCACTCCCAGCCTTGGGGTGAGTTGCAAAACTTGTAAGAGCTTTATTGCCAATAACCCTGTCTGATGGGTACACTAACAACACTCTGGACATAGTAGCAGTGATAATAATTACATGTCAGTGATATAGGTAACGCTCCTCAGTTTGGTCTCTATAGCTTTTCACCTCAAATCTTCAATGGGACAGTCAGCCACCATGGATCATTCACCTCTGTGATGGGAAGTTAGAGATCCAGGAGCTACAGATCTGAGTAATAACATGAGAGGCAATAATTTGGCAAAAACAAACAAAGACAATTCAGTTGCATAAAATTTCATAGGAAAAGGTTTATGATCTTTAAAATGTGTTATGGGATAGGCTTAATTCTCTGAAGATACATGGGAAAATCAGTCCAGCTTTGGAGGAATGGAATGCAATGTTTAACAAAAGTGAATTGCTGAAAAGTTGTCACTGCAAAGAAATTCTGAAGTGTGCGATTACTTATCTGAAGCAGATGGAGTTAATCATGCCGTATTTGAGAATTTTTTTTTCATTTCCCCTTGAAATAATTAGCCACAAGACTGTAAGTACATTTTTCATGTCAAATGGACAGTGGCTTCAAAGAAATTAGAAGATGGAAGTGTGAGAGAGTGAGAAGACTGACTTGATGCACAAAAGACAAAATATCAACATTTCTTGAATTACCACTGAACATGTGTCAGCAAGCATGAGATCATTTTTTAACTAGAAACAACAAAACTAAAATAGGTAGTTTATTAAGTAAGAGAAGCAGTGAAGTAGAGTTCATCTTGCCTATCAACTCAAAATCTTGCAAAATATTGGGGTAACAGGGGTTCAGTTTAACTCTAAATTCAAACAATATGAGTGAAAGTACAATAAAACTGCTAGACATTTTCTACAATGTCTAGAAAAGAAGAGCAAAAACCTAATTCCAGAGGAAACTTGGTATCTTTTGATTGTATTCTACATTTTGCACAATGGTGGTGAAATAGGGTGTGTCAGAATATTTGTTATCAAAGGCATATCAAACCACTAGTATGATAACAATAATGTCAGTTACATGGCTCTTACCCACTCCATCTGTAACTGAACTTTTAGTAAGGAGTAGTCAGTGAGTTTTATGAGTCTCAACATAGTTTCTGTCAGGTTCTAGTTAATGAGTAGAACATGGGCCCCCTCCTGGTTTGGCCATGCTAGGACTACTTATTGCCCACATCTGTGCAGTGCCTCACCAACCACACATAACAATTAATAATAATAATAATAATAATAATAATAATTGCAATGCTCTGCAGTAATTTACATACACTAGCTCCTGTAATTGTTGTTGAAATAGGTCCTGTTGTTATAAATTCATTTTACTAATAAACATGCAGAGATGCAGAGAGGTTAAGTGACTTGACTATGTCACATAGCTAGTAAGTAGCAGAGCAGAGAGTGAAACCCAGTTATCCTACCTTTGGACTCTCTGTGCTTAACCACCTCAATCTACTATAATGTTTGACCACTATACTGAAACTGCTTTGCTATAATACAGGCCATGTTCTCCTTGGATCGAACTAGAAGTTTGTTATCCATTATCGCTGGCTCTTCTGTGGATTATCTCTTTTTGTTTCTTCTCCAGGGAAGCCCAAGTCAACGTTGATGAGAATGCCATAATTTACCATAATTTATATGTAGCCTCAGTGGAATCAAGTTGCTTTTCTTCAATATTACAGAACAAGATCCTGGGAGGCCAAAAAATAAAGTGAATAAAAATTTACCCGATTCTGAACTATAGCATCCTGTATATAATAAGAAGGCTCAGAGGGGCTATATCTAAACTGGGGCACATGATTGGAAAATGTTTTTTAAAAACTCAAAAAAAATGTTCTAAGCAGTTTTGGAATGAGTAATTGATGCTTGTGGTATCCAGGGATAAATTAGTCATTCAGAAATTTAAGAAAGGAAGAAAAGCCCCATGGGTGTTTCTCCAAATCTTATTTTTCTTTTTTTTTCTGTTGTCTCAGATTATTATAATAATCTGCCTAATTTTTGGATACAACATCCTTCCTCCATATTACTATGACCACTTAGGGGACACCTGCATGCTCTGACATTCATTCCCTAGGTATAGAGCCGATCCTGAGGTTGGTCAATGATGATAAAAGGAGATCTAAACCAGAAAAGTTAATTCAGTCTTGCTATCACCTAGGGCTTTTCTTTCCTTACATTCTAAGAACACTTCCATAGATATATGCCCCTAAGTATTAATTTTGTTTTTGTAAGCTTAGCCACTATTGCAGCCATCATTTAGGGCAGTAATACATCTTTTCCTCATTTGCTCCTCTTTCTAAAACTAAAACAACTGGAGTTCTACCTTTTGAATTTAATTATTGTAGCCTAAGGATTTAAACTCTTACCTGTTCCAGACACCGACCTTCCCAAGAGAAACTTACTTTCTAAACCCACTTTTAAGCTCATTCCCCATCTTACTTTAGACCAAAATGTCCTATACTGACTGTTATTTCAACCACTATTTGTCTCCTATTATCATTTTTTTTTAAATCTCTGAGCTTTTTCTATGGGACTTTGCCTGATGTTTAATTTGGTTGACATCCCCCACCCCCTGCCCTGTCCCTAGGCCAAGAGTCCACCCTAAGAGAGCTCTTTCTTTTTTCGATGGTTCTTGTATTTGTGTCCTTTATAGAGCTACTAGAAATAACAATTCTATTTTCAGTCAACCTGGATGCATTATTTGATGACTAATTTGAAGACTACTTACGTTAAGTACCAAGGGGGCAGGGATACTCATTTCCTCTTTGGGGGTCTTCTCATGGCTAATCCCTGGTGTATAGCACATTAGGGCACATAGTGGACACCTAAAAATGTATGTAGAAAATAGAAGAAAAGAGGTAGGCAGGGCATAAAGTCAAACACCCTTGCATTCCACCTTCAGTTTAACCTCTTGCTGGTTATGTGAACACCGGTAAGTAAATTAAGCTATGCCTCACTTCCCTCACTATAAAGGGGGGCTAATAATACTTTTCATGTAGATTAGGAAATGTTAGTAATTTTTGCCTCTGCAGACAAGGTAGAATATTTTGCTTAAGTATTGGGACAAAAAGAATGATACTATAAAAGAATATTTAGTGACCTTGAAAAAATGTTATTAATATTTTAAGTTAATAAAGCTTACAAAGGGTTTGTATAACATCATTTTTGTGTGATAATCCATACAAAAAAGGATGAAAGTATATTTTTAAGAGTTACTAATAATTATCTCTGCATTGTGGCCTTATACTTTCCTCATTGAACATTTACGTTTAACAATATGTATTATACTTGTAAATTTAAAGGAAATATATATCTGAAGTAAATAAACTGAAAAAAAAGATTTTATATATGTTTGTAGATATGTATATTAGCATTAGGTTATTTTTAATCATTTAGTAATATTTTAAATGAAGTGATAAAAAAAGCCAGCTTTTATTCTGTATTTTTTAAAATTCTGGATTGAAAACAAATCTAAAATTGGTATCTGTCACACATAAATTTCTCCTTTTGTACAAGAAATTATAGTGCCTTCCGAAATATAGATGAAAGAGGACAAAATATTTGAGAAAAGTTTTGGTTACTTTGAATCACTAATTATTGATTACAGTAATAGTACACAAAGAGAAATGTGGATGCAATCTAGTTTACACTGTCATGTTTCAAGGCCTCCCCAAAAATATTGTGTAATTTGGCTTACTAGTTGCACTGGTCTATTTCACTTGTCCTCATGGCAAGAAAGGTAATGAAATAGGAAATTATTTGAGCCAAGTAATTTCATTGGAAGTAATTCAGTTCAATTGTAGTTTTTGAATCTCTCCAGAACAAGTCAAAGTACACCTTAACTTACAAATATCCAAAATTCTGACCTTTTGGTTTTTTCATAAATTTTTTTTACTGACATGAGTTATTCTTTCCACCCTTTTCCAGTTAGTAATTTGGATACTTTCCTGAAGAGGATTTTTCCATGTGCACCACAGAAAGCTATCCATCAACTTCTTCCCATGCTTAGGTTTTTATTCATCTTACCAACACCGATTTTTGTTGGAAACAAATCAGAAAGTTTGGGAAACTACAAATGGAAAAGATATGACATGTCAACCAATATAATTTCCTACAAACAAGATTACTTCTTATAATTTATTTAGTTTATTTTATCATACCTGACATCATCACAATACCACCATTATCCTTTAATTATATAGTGAGACTATTATGCTTGTGTAATGCTTAATATACTATTCAATTTTATGTTTTCTCCTTTCTCAGAGCTGGAGGAAAATATGAAGAGAAATATTTTGGCTTCATAATTCTCCTCCCATCCTTACCCATGCCAAGTCTTTTGCTTTGAGCTATGAACCATTAACTCTCAGTGCACTGAGAAGCAATCCTAAAACTAAAGGCATTTTTCTTTACCAGGGAGGAAAAAGGAACAAAGGCATTTGCCACTTGTTTGAGAAGGGAGAAAAATAAATGTATCCAAATATATTCTTTCGTTAAAAACAGTACCATTATCTTTCTAATTATGTCTTCCTTCTCCAAACTTCCTTGTCTATAACTCTTAACTCACTCATCCAATGATTCAGCAAGTATTCAAGTAACTCATATTATGTGGCAGACATTTTTCTAAGCATAGGGTTTTAAAAATTTCCCTCTCAAAGTGGTGGGGATAGAGGTGGCGAACAGCAATTATACAATATGTAAAAACTGATTCAATAGGGGAATGCACATGATGTAATGGAGATATGAAAAGGCATTACCTCTGGGATAAAGAAAGGCTTCAAAAAAAGGAGTGATTGAGTTTTGACCTGAGATTTGACTGGAAGAGTGACTAGAAGGAATTCACTGGGCAAGCTGGATGAGCAAAGGCAACAGAGTATTTAAAACCAGAAGCTGTGAGTGTGTGCAGCATGCTTGGCAAACAGTTCTGAGTCATAGAATGCCTGGAAGGAAATTAGTGAATTTGGGACTAGATGTCATGAACTCTTGGGTTTTTTTTTTTTTTTTAGAAATATTTAACCTGAGAGATTGGAGAGTTTAAATAATAAGGGGTACCTATATCAGGTTTACATTTCTAGAAGTTTGTTCCTCTTATTGCTATAGATCTTAGGCAAAAATATTTAAAATATTTAAGTCTAGATGACAGATGACTATATATTAAAAAGATAGCCTAGAAAAGCACTTCTGGATTAGCAAGGTAAGGACCTCTGAAAATCCTTGCTTCCCTAAAAGCAATGAGGACAGAAATATCAAAATCAACTTTTTCAGAATTCTGGCAATTAACCAAGGCTACAACAGTACTAGGAGCATTTATTCAAGAAAAATGGATAATATGGCACTGATGTCAACAAGATGACTGATTAAGACATTCCTTTTGTATACCCTGCCCCCATCAACAACAAAAATTTAGCATCCATCCAAAACAAAAGTACCTTTTTGGGAGTTTTGGGATCCAGTACCATATGCCAACCACTTGTGCATCAGGTAATAGGCATACAAACCTTGGTTATAGACCCTGAAGTGGCCTATGAACTGGCTCCAGCTACTCTCAGGACCCTTTCTTCATGTTCTCTCCTGGAGAACACAGTCTCAGACAATCACTCATGGACAAGTGATCTTTGGAAGTCAAAGAGTACAGCAGAAAATTTACAGCACATAGCTAGAACAAAAAATAATACAGGTTTGAATGCAGAGGAGAGGGTGAGAAAAACTATTTTATTTCACTCACATCACACCCTTCACCCAAGGTGGCACAGCTCAGTACCAAGAGAAACATTCTTGGCCCAATATTTCTCCTAGTAGGAAAGTGAGAGCATATAAGTGATCTTCCAGCTTGATCAGCTAAATGAGATGCCGCCATGAGGACCCATTTCTCTCTCTCCATCTAGAGTACTCATTTGTGAGCTACACTAGTTGGGGATATGAAGATGCTAGGAGAGTATATTTGAATGGCATTAAAAGGATGTGGATCCTAATAAGCACATTGTGGACTCCATCAGGAAGCTTCCCATTAACTCCTTGGGACACCTTGCCTGTAGACTGGTCAAGCTGGCTGATGGGCACCCCCAGGGTACCTCACCTATACACCCTGTGGCCAATCCCCTGTACTTGCTCCCAATGATGATATAAGTGAGTTTTGTCAGAGACTAGTGAGTATGTGCAAAACTAGCCTGAATCTGTGGGCCGGGAAAAAACCATACACTGGCTTTAGCACCAACCTTTGAAAACCTCAGTAAGATAAATGGCTGACTTCCATCAGGAACTATGGAGACTAGAAAGCAATGGGATGACATTTTCAAAGTGCAAATAGGGATTTAACCAAGAATTCTATATTTTACAATAACATCCTCATAAACAAGAGAGAAAATAATTCACTGTCAGGTACTAAAACTAAAAGACTTTATTAGCAGATCTGCCTTACAAGAAATATTAAAGGGAGTCCTTCAGGCTGCTTCAACAAGAATAAAAGAACTGGTAAAGGTAACTACATAAGTTAGTAAAACTTACAGTGTACATATCTTTGTCTTCCTTTCTATGTAATATAAAAGGTACATATAAATAAATAATTATAAAATTACATCGATGAGATTATAATGTATAATGATGTAATCTGTAGGATGAGAGCATAATGAGGGGGAGAGAATGGAGCTATACTGGAGCAAATCTTTGTGTAATATTAAAATTAAGTAGATATTTAGCTGAACTAGATTGTTTAAATTAAGATATTAATTGTAATCCCTAATGAAATCACTCAGAGAATAATAAAAAAAATAGTAAAAGAAACAACAAAAAATTTAAAAGAGTGTATCAGAAAATATCTGTTTAATACAGAATAAAGCACTTATGAAGGAATAGAGGAACAACAACAATGAAATAAACAATCACATAAAACAGAAAACAAAATAGCTGATGCAAATCCTACTTTATTGATAACTACATTAAAAGTAAATAGGCTAAACTCACCCATCAAAAAACACAGATGGGTAGAAAAGATTTTTAAAAGATCCAACTATATGCTGTCTACAAGATACATTAAATTCAAAGACAATTGGATGAAAGTAAAATGATGGAAAAGTATATACCATTCAAACAGTAACCACAAGAGAGCTTGAATGGTTATACTGCAATTAGACAAAGTATACTTTAAGACAAAAATTGTTACTAAAGACAAAGAAGAACAGTTTATATTAACAAAAGAGTCAATTCATCAAATGATAAAACAGTTATGAACATATATCCACGTAATAAAAAAGCCACCAAATAAATGAAACAAAAACTAACAGAATTGAAGGGAGAGAGAGACAATTCAACAATAATACTTGAAGACCTTGATACTCCACTTTCATTAATGGGTAGAATAACCTAGCAGAATAAAAAAAAAGATGAACAACACTATAAACCAACTAGCCTTAAGAAATACCTATTGATCACAGCCCTACAACAGCAAAATACATATTGCTCTCTAGCTCACATTAAACATTCTCCAAGATAGTATGTTTGGCCCTTAAAAAAGTCTCCATAAATTAAAAAAGATTGAAATCACACAAATATGCCCTCTGACCACAAATAACATATCAATAACAGAAGAATGATGAATTCAAATTTGATATGATCAAAAGATGAAATCCTCTAAGTTTCAAGCAAGAAGAAAAATTATGAACATGTCTTTAAGGGAGAATTAATACAAGTTTATTTACTATTCATAAGAAAAAGACTATATGAAATTATACTCCATCATGATCATAATGATAACTGGTAATTTATATGATTGTATATTATAATGACCAAGTCCAAGAATTATTCTAAATACCTCACATTCATGAACTCATTTAATCTTTCCTAAAGCCTTTGATATATGAACTATTCTTACCATCCTCTCCATTTCACAGATAAGGAAACAACATAAGAGATATTATACCCCTGCCTACCATCATACATAACATAGTTTGTCAACTCTCCTATCAATAGGCATCAGGGTTGTTTCAATATGAAGCCAGTAAGAATACAGCTGTCATTAACATTTATATGTACACAAGTGTTTTGTGGAAGCAAATGTTCATAACACAGTTCCTCTGCAAATCAAACGTTAAAATGGGTTTACATGTGTGAAAGATTTATTGGTGGAGGTGAATGTGAAGGAGAAGATGGAATAGCTTTCAGAGCACAATGAGGATGTGATGGTATGAAGGAAAGGAGTAGGAAGGATGATCGCCAAGGCTGATTGCCGGAGTGTCAGGCTGCAGTGCGATTCTAAGGAAGTTTTGGCCAGACTAATGTAGGGTGATTCTAAGTGTCATTAATCAGTTCAGTGAAATTGCTTTATACTCCTTGTTTGCTGATGTTATTACATTTTATCAGTTTTAGTTTTTGTGTTTACTAAGATAATCACACAGTCTTTTTTCTTTACCTCTATTGATACAGTGAATTATATTGATTTTCAAATGTTAAACCAACCTTGCATTCCTAAGATAAACCTATTTGATATTGATCTATTTTTTGAAATTCCTGGAATGATGCTTGAGAATCTCATCTTAAAACATCATGCAAAGCATTTCTTAAGCACATTAAAAATTGAGAACCAGTATAATCTCCATGTATGCTTTATATAGCTTGTGTTATAGCCATACTATATATAGATAAAACCATGAGTTCTTACCAAAATCTCCAGTTCTTAGGTAAGGGAACAGAATTCTAGATTTCTCCCTTTTGATATCTGTAAATCCTTTCTCATACTATTAGAATTGTGGCTTTCATTATCTTTAATATATTTATTTATTGTATAATTTTCCTTGTATATAAACAACTTTTCATCCCTGCTGCCACCACATCAACTTTGTAGATACCTCTCATGACTTGAGCTTTGATTCTCAATGCCTCAGCCACCCTCCAACACATGGATTCTCTCCTCAACTTTCTTGGGCTTCAACACCTCACACTACATAGCCCCTCCATTTATTTGGACTGCCTCTTCACCCTGCTCAGGCTCTGACTGCCTATTAGGGCCACCCACCTTCTTGCATATAAACCCTATTTAGCCCATTGGAACTCATGCTGGGATTTTTCTTTTTTTACATCCTTTTACATGAATGCCCTCTTCACCTTGCTTGGATTCTAATTGTCCATAGTAGTCCATCTTAACTTGTTTGGATACCCTCCTGTCCTACCTTGGCCTCTGACATCTCACCCCATGCTCTCTCCCTCCTCAGGAACACACTCCTCACTTCATTCTTTCTCTGATTCCCCACATCAGAACTTGCCCTGTGCATTCCTTCTTCATCCCACTCAGGTCTGACACCCTTCTACAGGGATGCCTCTTACTTTGCTCAGGCTTTGACACCTCATGCTAGGCTGCCTATCATGTAGACATCCTTCTTAACCCAGTAAAACTTGGGCAATTTCTCTAAGCCATCTCTGCTATGTGGGCACATTCTTTACCCTAATTGAACTCTGACACCACCCTATGAGCCTCATGTCTCCCACTATAATGCTGACATAGGCACTGATCTTGCTCTGGTTTACACGATGCTTTCTGGACTAAATTTTTCACTAAGAGAAGTAAAGGGAAGAGAAGGTAAAAGAAGGAAGAGTAGAAGAGACAAAGAAAGAATATAACATTCAGTATATTCACAGACTTGTGCAACCATAAACACAATCTTAGTTTAGAACATTTTCATCAGTCCAAAAAGAAACTCCATACCCATTATACAGCCATTTCTCTTACCCAACTGCCACACATAGGCAACCACTAATCTACTTTCCTTAAAGATTTATCTTGTCTGGACATTTTATATGAATGGAACCATACAAAATTTTGTATGTGTGTGTGACTAGATTTTTTTATTTAGCTTAATGTCAAGGTTCATCCATGGCACAGCATGTATCAGTTTTTCATTTTTTTAAATTGCCAAACAATATTCTTTTGTAGGAATATAGCATATTTTGTTTGTCCTATTAGTTAAGAGAAATTTGGGTTGTTTTTATGTGTTGCCTATTATGAATAATGCTTTATGGCATTCATGTGCAAATTTGTGTGGACATATCTTTTTCACACTTTGACTTTTATATTAGTCTGCTCAAGTTGCCATAAAAGACCATCACAGATTGGGTGCTTAAACAACAGGAATTTATTTTCTCATAGTTCTGGAGCTAAAAAATCTAAGATCAAGGTGCTGGTTGGTTTCTAGTAAAATCTTTTTTCCTGGCTTGCAGACAGCTACCTTCTCAATATGTCCACACACGGCCTTCTTTCTGTGCACATATATCTTACTCTTACTGACTTGTTTGCCTTTCTCTGTGATTGCTTTTCATCAAGGTAGTGCCAGCTGACTCCCAGAGAGCAAAACATAAAAGGGACCTTGTGAAGCTAGATTTTTATTTATTAAAAAAAAGAAAACCAACTTTGTGTTTAGTATTATGCCATTTGCCATCCCTTGGTTAGTTTGGTTTTGCAAGGCAAGCTCTCTGAAGCTGGTTGTTTTGCTGTGACACTCTCCCTACTGTTTCCTTCAGATAGTTTCTATGGTTTGACTAAGTGAGTCTCAGACAAGGGCCATCCAATGTCAGAACATTTACACATGAGGAGAAAAGTACATTTAAAAAATCAATATAATCAGTATAATAGCATAAATTATATAACAGCTCAGTAATTTGTGGTGTTTA